CGTATAGTGCTTGACTGGGTTTTGCTTTGAGTCAAAGATGGAGAACAGATACGGCGGGGGGTCTTTGCTGGGGGCGGACGGGGTTCCGCGATGCTGCAGCAACGGCCTCATCGTGTACTGTGTGGAACACGGGAAGCCGTTGGCGTACGGCTGCACGAGGTCAAGCCTGGACACCAGCAGCACGACCGTCACGAAACTCGTTTGCACATAGCACGGAAGCATCGGTACGGAGACTGTCTCAGTGCGGTCAGTGAACGGCTACTTGCGGACGGTCAGCGACTGTGTCTGAGGCGGTGAGTCCGAACGAATGAGCTACGAAACCGACCGACCAACCAACGACTGAACGACGACGACACGACGACGTCGAAGAAGCGGCGTGCTGCGTGAAGGATCAAGTGCTAAATTGGGGCCGTCACCTCTTCGTCGTTTCCACTCGACGACTGAACTCGCCGTCTGTGCCGAAATTCAGTCAATACCAGTGCATAATACGGACGGTCAGCACGTTTAAGCGAAGCCGTAAAAGATCTGGCATGGTGACGACGACAAACAGGAAATCAGGTAAGTAGGACGGACAGCTGAACTGTTTAAACAAATACTTCGGATGCACGAGCACGCCCCAACAGCGGGTTAATCTTGGGCCGATTCTGTACGTCACTTCGTTAGTGACCAGCCGTCCGTTCGACAGTTCCGACCGGTCGAGCGGATGTCCCTGTTTTCCGTCGTCTGATCGCCCCGGGCCAGAAACCGGAATTAAGAAAGGAAACGTTACGACCGTGGGATGCCGGTCTCTCCGAAGAGCTGCTTTCATGATTTGAGCAATTCGTTGAATTGCTTTGTTACGGAACATTCAAGCTGTTTGCGACATTCGTTCCTCACCACGTTTTCGATGTTGGTCACGATTCGCTTCAACCACTAACTAAAATTTTCCGTCGTTCAGCTGCCTCGCTTGAGTACTCCAGTCAGACATCTAGAAAACAGCCTGTTAATGAATTGCTGACCTCGAATTGGAAACAATTCGAAGAAATTTTGCCGTCTGCCTTGTCACTTTCATGCCATCAGCTCCATGTACTTTGATTTTTGAACTTACGTGACAAACAGAGCGCGTTACGTGCAACTTCCCTCGCATTTGCAAATACTCTTAGGCATAGCTCGAAGGATAAACAGGCAAAACCCACATTCGAACCTCCTGCCTTTCACAAAGGAACTTAGACACACCTCCTCTTCAGAGAAAAAGAATCATGGCAGTAATCAATGACGAATCACTGTCAACACATGGTATTATCTACCGTCTTAAGATGAAGGCAGAAGTGAACTAATTCTAAGAACTAGAATAACTCAACGGTGCACAACAGCACTGACCTATACGTATCATGAAAGTAAACCGATGGATCAGTGAAAGATACCCATTTCTAGCAGAGTAATTACATCTGAAGAGTGGAAGCTAACTTAGAGGAACAGGTATGGCACTGAAAGCGGGATCAAAGGGTACAGTTGTCATCATTGTCATCATGATGTATGCGTAGTTGACGAGGCACCGTCGCGCCAATCAGTAAAACCTCCTTGAGCCAACCAAATCACCTTAGGCCAGGAGCCAAAACTTCAGTGTAGTAGTTAGAGTTATTTTTTATATGGTTGGCTGGTTTTACACTCTCTCTTTTGAGCACGGGAGACGTAGAGCGAAGAAGAGCAACCTCGTAACTGCAGTGCGACCATGTGGCTGCTTATGAATCAAAGGCCACCATTGACTTTCACGGTGAAGAGCTCATGTCCACCTGCTGAACAGTGCAGTCTCTTTTTAACCACTGCAACCTTGTTGGTCGAACGTTTCAGAGTTCATAAAAGGCCTTCACTGCTACCGTGGCAACTAAATGAGACTGACCATCACTGTACTTCACCTTTCCTTCACTTTCATCGTTGTTAACCGTATGCAACAAGGAACACCAAATTAATTGTAGGAACCAATGATCGACATTTTTCTAAAGTATGAAAGTAATGAAAGACTTATCATCCCCACACCTCAATATTCGCCCAAGCGAAAATAAAAAAAATGATTTTTTCAGCGCGGCGAACTCCGCCATGGCCGGTCCCAATCCGGATGAGAAAGGAGGAGGGTTGGAGACCGTGGCAAGTCTCCGTAAAATTCAGCCACCTGCCACTCAT